AGGGAGAGGAGAGAAAGAGGAAGAATCCCTTGCTCTTTGTGGCTCCACTTTAAGGAACAGAACTAAGGGAAATAGCTGGCAGATTTTATCTAAATTTAAAGAACTTTTAGAAAACTTTAAGGAGTACACAATGTTCCTGTCCCTTGCCATTCAGCTAGATGATGTCTGACTGCTTAGGGATATGCCTGGGGAGACTCAAGCCCTGGTGGGAGGCTGAGTTAACCACCCTTAGGTCCTTTGTGATTTCTAAGACTTTATGATTTGGGTTCGTATTCAGCTTCACGTATGAAGGGTTGAGCCATTGCAATGACTGTGAGGGGATGGATGGGGGCGGGATCAGGGAGGGAAGGCAGAATGTCTAACCCATTGAGGCCAGTGATGAGAAAGTCCAGGTTGCCCAGGATCTTGGTGCAGTTCACAAATCCATCAATGTTGCTCGAGTCCACAGTCTGGAAGCGGCTCCCAGAGCCTGTCCCTTCACAGGCTGCAAACAAAAAAGAGGCTCAGTGGGGCTTGAGTAGTGGGTTGAGTAGTCTCAGGGTAAAAGATGTCTCCTTACCAACTCCTACTTACCTTTGGGGCATAGACCCCCACAAGGTTCACATATCTTGAGTCCATTTTTATCCACTTCCATCTTGTCAGGAGGACAGGCCCTGACACAAGATGTTTGATCCACCACAAAGTTATCTAGGGAAACGAAGATGAGGGTGGAATATGCCCACTACCAGCTGAACCGTGCTCCCTACTGCTCTGCACTGAATTTGCCCCAATCCACCACTGAGGTTCCTTAAGTGCCATCCTATGGATTAGGAAGGCCCTTTGCTCTTTGTTGTTCCAAGGAGCAGAACTAGGTCCAATTACTGGAAGTCACAGAGAAGTTTATGAGGGAACAGGACATAGGGGTCATTCACTGGGGGTGGTCAATAATCACAACCATTTGCCCTCTAAAGCCCCTACTTCCACCCAACTTAATCCCTTTCGTCTCCTAAAATTTTGTCTAAAACCCTGGTTCCGTTATCATTGTTTCTTCCTTTCAGATACTTACGGGGACAGCTGGCTACACAAACTCCTCCATACTGATACTTGGTGTGAGGATTGGGTTCCAGCTGGAAAGTTAGCTTGTTGTAGACAAGAGGCTGTGGACACTGGCGTACACAAGCTCCACTGTCATTGAAGAGTCGGCAGGCCTAGGAACACAGGAGACTCATAAAACTCATATTGTATTATGTATTCCTACTTCCTCCCCAAAGCCCATGTCCCCACTTCAGAACCCAGGCAAACAGTGCTAACAGTACATACAAAGCAGTCGGTGTCCTGAGGACCTGAGCAGCCCCCTGCGCACTCATCATGGCAGCACTGGTTGGGGTTGGGCCCAAAGCAGTGACCATTACACTGAGGCGCACAGATGGTCTTGGTCACTGTGGAAGGAGAGAAAGCACATCTGTCAGGGTTCTTAGGACTGCATTCTGAGACCACTGCTCACCCTCTTACCCTCCAGGCTCATCCCTACCACTGGTGGTGACACAAGTTGGGGTGGGCAGGGATATGAACATGTATGGATTTGAGGTTTTTAGAGGGAAGTAAACCCACATGTCTGGCAGTCTTTTGGTCCGGGACCCCAGCATCGTTTATTGCAGTCCTCATGACACTTGGGACCTAGTTGGGAAAGAAAGCAACATAATAGGCCACCAAGAAGGAGAAAGGCTTGCTTGAATCAACAGGGTATGATGTCAGCACACAGGCACCCAAGTCCCAGGAAGCAAAGAGCCAGGGCAGAGCCCCTCCTCGCCCATGCAGAGCAGGGCAGGGCTCAAGTGAACCTGTCAACAAGGGGTGGAGCCACACCTCCACACCACCCACAGGGCAGCTAAAGGGGAGGGTCTGGGGCAAATGCCAAGCTCAGCCCCAGGCCCAACCCGGGCACTAGGTTGCTCTTGGAAAGCTGAACCCAGTAGAATTATACATGTGTGAGTGGACAGGCGGCAGCAGCTCGCGGTCAGGGGTAGGTAGGTTCTAAGGAAAAGGGGGGTTGTTGTGGAAAGCAAAATGGATGGAGTCCAAATATCTGGCTTCCTCACTTAGTACACAAGTCTTTGGCCCCTATTCTTGACATACTGCTTCTGAGGTTTGGATTCTAGGGGGCTGACCTGCTCCCTCCTGGCAGCCTCCTTGGGTCTAGGACCTGAGGTGTTTGCTCAGTGGAGAGGAGGGGTTCAGATTAGGGATAAAGATGACGGGAAAGGAGTCACTCTGGTTTGGTGGGGGCAGGGAGGAGTCTTGATCAGGGCCACTCACAGCTCCTGCCATTGTCCTTCACCACTATCTCGGCATCTGGGTCCCTCACGATGTCCCTCCAGTCAATTGTGTCCATGTGACAAAGTTTATCATTCTTCTCAATATAAACGCCCCCTGACAGAATCTCTGAAGTAGAGAAAAGAAGGGACAGGGTTAAGGGCTACAGCAGGCCTCCTTTCTCCTAACCTCCCCACCAGTCCAAAAGCCCCCTGTCCCCACAAGACTCAGGGGCAGGAGGAATGGGGCAGACAGGTATGTCCAATTAAATCCAAAATGCAGAGAAGGCTCGCCTTGGAAGACAGAGGAGGAACCAAGCTGAAAGAAACTCCTGCCTCCTCAGACACCTGTCCAGATCCGGTTTAGCCAGTGGGGGAAGGGAAGGAAAAGGAGAGAAGATTCCTGACTCAACACCCCCCCTTCCCCTGCCCTACCTGTGTGTTTTCCAACTGACTTGGACAGGGAGAAGTAGAAGGTGGCCAGGTGGTATTTAACCCCTATATTCCTCCAGCTGGTGGGAAACTGTGAGGGGCAGGTAGGATTCTAATTCTTGGGGAAGGAGGCATCTCAGGGTACACTGTACTTTGCAACTAGAGGAATGTGGTCGACAGATCCAGCTCCAACTCCAGCCCCACTAGGACATAAGGACCCTCTCTCTCCCTGGGGCAGAGGCCACCGGCTCCCTATCGGGAACTAAAAGGACTAGTGGACCTTTAGATCAGTGGACAAAGTGGGGGGGCACCTTGAAAGGGGCACTTAAGAGTAGGCTGTCTTGGACTGTCCTCAAGGAGGCACCTGCCAGCAGGTTGGCTAAAGGGCAAGACCAAAAGGAATCATCAGGAACTGACCAGTGAGCTGAGTAAAGCCGAGCTGGCGCAGAGCATGGCTGGAGTTGGTGTTATAGTTCAACATGACAAAGATGGCAAACTTCCCGTCGTAGACTTGGGTCCCCCGCACCACTCGGAGGTTGGGCAGGGGCAATGTGGAGAACTCATTCATGGCCACGAGGACATAGCCAGTCACTTCTCGAATCCACTGTGATGGAGCAGATGGTGTCAGTAAGAGATGAGATGAGGCAAAAAGTCTCAATCCCCTCTTCCTCCATAAGACATTAAGGAATCCCTAAATCCTCTAATCCCTTCTGCCAGTGAAAACAGGCAGCAGAAATGGTCAAAGAACTTAGTCTCCTACCCTTTCTTTCTCGTAGTTCCTCACACCAGGAAGGTCCTTGCTTTGTCCCTTACCCATTTCCCCCATGTGTCTCTGCATTAGTCTCAGGTGCAGAACGCCACCCTGCCTCTGCTCCCTTCTCACAGCCAGCCCCTGTGTGTCCTGGTCACAGAGACCAGACCACAGATCCCAGATTCCAGTCACTGTCCCCATAAACACACAAATTTGGATCTTAGGGACTTTTGAGGCTTAGGAAGGCCGAACTCCAGCAGAGGGTAGCCCCAAGGAAGGGAAGGAGGCGTCTGTGGGGAGAAGGGGGAATAGGTAGAAGGAGGTCGGGCACTCTAACCTGCAGGAAGGAGAGGTCAGCATTGTGTCCTGTGAGCACAATCTCGAGGTTCCCCATCACCACCTCACACCTCTCGTAGAGCTTGTGCAGTGTCTGGTACTGGTTCTCGGCATCGCCAGTCACACTCAGACCATTCAGAGTCCCAGGACACACTGTTCAAAGTGGAGGTAAAAGTGGCAGAGAGCTGGACACAAGTTTTCAGCCCTATCCCCCAAGACCACCCCCTTGGTTGCCCTTTTCCAGTGGTATTCAACAGGCTCAGAAGGCAGCAGCCTCCACCCTCACCCCTACAGATAGACACGAAGGCCTGTGTTGGTCTGAGAGCCTGAACTTTTTTTTCTCAGAATCCCCCTCACCATCCCTCTGAACAGGAAGGTGAAAAGGTTTCCTTTTTCCACCAGACCTCCTCTGTGCCTCTTTCGGGTCCTAGGGGGTTAACCAAGGAGGATTTAGGGGTTTTTCCCCCTCTCTGGAAAGAAGTTAGAAAAAGACACAACTAGGTTACCCTCCTCTTCCCCTCCTCCTGCAACCAGGGCACTTACTTCTCCTACCCCCATCCTGCCTCTCTTGAGGTCTTGGAATAAATATCTCTTTGGGGCTAGCACACAGCCCCTATTGTGTCTACTGAGGGTGGGATGGGGGCAGTGCCTGGGGCCACAGTCCAGCCTACAATGAGTCGATTCTATATAGGAGGAGGGGGGCTGCCCCACCCTGTCCCCAGACACCCTGTCCTCAGCAGCACCCCCTCCACCCTCGGGTTCAGACAAGTGATCTCACTAGAGGGGGGAACCCTGGTGGTGGTGGTGGTGGGGTCAATGTGAGCTTTGTCTTTAAAGCTGCAAGATAAGGAGCTGGTTGCCTACCCTGCAACCCCCTTCCTAAACCTGGGCTTCCCTTCTCACTCCCTTCCCCTATCCCAACACACTCCAGCCCCCTCAGCATCACATTTTTCAGCAAACGCAGAGGACTGGCAATGAGGTAGAGCCTAGACTGGAGGTGCATGAAGCTTGTTGGCCCTGGAAGCTATAGGATATCTTGACCCTGAAGCCCACTTCCTATCTCTTTCCTCTGGCTCAGTGAAAGGGTGGGAGGGATGGGGGGG